AGAAAGAATGCTAGATTCGGCGTGACGACAGAAGTTCAGCAGGATTTTTTTAGTGTTCCGCATAACGTCTCTCTAGCCCACTGTGTTGCCCAAGATCTTGAGATGACTAAAGGAATCTCATCCGTATTTTATAAAAAATTTGGTCGCTTGGACGAGTTAAAAAACCAGCAGCCTAAAGTTGGAAGAGTGCTGAGATTAGAAGATGGTTCTCGATCTTTGCTGTATATGGTGACCAGGAAGTCGTATACAGACAGGGCAACCTACGAGGATATATGGTATGCTCTAACTAATTTGAAGAAAATCGTCTGCAATTACGACATTAAGAATTTGGCCTTACCCAAGATAGGCCATGCACTAGATAATCTGGATTGGAAGATTTTCAGAAGCATGCTTGAAGTGATCTTCCGAGAAACCGGCGTAAGAATTAATGTGTGTTGTACGAATCCGAAGAGATCGTGTCCTTCAAAGACAGTAGACTGTTATTTCTTTCTCAGGGGTGCATGCAGAGCTGGAGAATCCTGTAGATTCCGCCATCCTGGGCCTACATATAGAGTTGCTGATCGGGACGCTCAGATCTAAGAGGGGAGCAGTGTTACGAACATGCATTCAGTGCGGCCCGTCTAACGGTTGCATCTCGAAGCATCTCGGCATCGAGAACCATCGATGAATAGATCCCTCGAAGACTAGAGAACAAATGGTCACATACACGCCTAGAGGTGGGAACTTTCTAGAAAATAGTAACTTTGGTATATATATGTAACGATCTTAGGAGTTAGTTTAGTTGATAAGAGAGTACCGAAGTGTAAAGTTATAAATAAATATATTTATATAAATTCGAACCGCTCGTTTTATTTAAACACGCTACACAATCTTTGCTAAAGTTAAAAACAGAATTTGAAGAATCTATCATTGCAAGTGGTAATAGTAAAAAAGTTTATCGGTACATTCGTACATCTTTATCTTCTAAAAAAGCCGACGGGTCTTTATGTTCTTCGAATAACGAATCTTCGGTTTCTGAGGTTTTTACAGATGAACCTAACGATACCATTCCTCAAATAATGTGCCCACGTTTGTCTAACACTCTTGACAATATATCTCTCACACCAGATGAAATTAAACATCATTTAAGGAATCTACGAAATAATTCATCATCTGGATTAGACTGACACCTCCTTTTTCCTCAAACTATGTGCAGAATCTGTAGCCATCCCTATATCTCTCATAATGAATGCTTCTTTTAATCAAGGTTCTCTCCCCTCGTCCTGGAAATTGGCTTCAGTTACTCCTATATTCAAGAAAGGAAATAAACTTGATTGCAATAATTATCGTCCAATCAGCCTCGTTCCTATTGTCGGTATTATTTCGATTATTTCGGAAGCTATGTATAAGTTTCTTCAAGAAAACGTCATTCTTCACCAATAGCATGGCTTTATCAAAGGTCGTTCAACGATTACAAACTTACTTCATTGTGTAAATGATTGGTCATTATCTTTAAACAATCAGAATCCTGTCGATGTAGTCTACTTAGACTTCTCCAAAGCTTTCGACCGCGTTCCAAAATGTCGATTACTAGCTAAATTGGATCACTATGGTATCCGCGGAAAGTTAAACATTTGGATTCAAGATTTTCTATCCGACAGATACTTTAAAGTTCGTGTTGGGGAAGACCACTCACTAGATAAGCCAGTCAAGAGTGAAGTCCCACAAGGATCAGTACTTGGACCACTACTTTTTTGATGACACGAAATTATATGTGAATCCAACTATTAAACCAACATGTTCTTTAACAAGATCTTAACGTAATATTCAAATGGTCCTCAAAATGGTTACTTCCGCTTAACATTGAAAAATGCGTTGTTTTACATATCGGCAAAAATAACCCATCATTACCGTACTTTATTAATAGACATCCCTTAAACTCGGTAACCTCCCACAACGATCTCGGAGTGATAAAATTAATAGTGACTTAAATTGGTCTGATTACATAGTGTCGGTGTGAAAAGGGGGAAACTCGAAACTGTTTTTGATCCGTAAATGTTTTACACGTATATCTCTATCCTCTGTTAGTAAACTTTACTCAATATAGGTTAGACTTATTCTTGAGTTTTCCGGACCAGTGTGGAATCCAGATATCAGTCGCGATAAAAACATACTTGAAAATGTTCAGCGTAAAGTCACAAGACTGGCATATGGCCGTGTAAGACCTAACTATGAAGATAGACTATCCATGGCTCATCTTACGACATTCGATCAGCGACGTCTTCGAGGTGACCTAATTATGTCCTTCCGTATTTTAAAATATAATTTTGGGAACCTAAACACCATATTCACTTTGAATCAAGAGAGGGATCAACATATTAAAGAGGGAACAAACTACTGCAAGATCCAGGGTGAACTTCTTGCCAAATAGAATCTTTAATATCTGGAACAATTTGGATCAAGACACCATATCGGCAACTAGTGTTAACATCTTAAAAAAAACTTGATAGCGCTTTATTTTACGTATATTGTTTTTTGTTTGTTTGTTTGTTGATTGTTTTTTTTTCGATTTATTTATTGTTTCACAATTCAATTTTTGTATGATATACTTAATTGTTTAATTTTACTTAACTTTATAATTGGTATTAGTTTTTTAAGGATATTTTTTTATTTTTGTTTTTTGCTTTTTGGGCATATAAGGGCAGAAGGAGCTCGCTCTTCTGCCCTTATTTCTTATATAATAATAATATTATTTTCGGCTAAGATCACAGCGTCGTCCGCATATCTAATGTTGTTAATGTGAACTCCATTTACTTTTATTCTAGCTATTTCACCCCCAGGAGCTTTTTCAGGATCTCTTCGGAGCAGGCATTAAAAAGAATTGGCGACAATACGCATCCCTGTCTCAGTCCACGTCTAATTTCAATTTCTTCTGACAGCTGTTCGGTAACACGTACTTTTGCTCGATGTATGTATTGATATGATCCTGAGGTCGTTGTAGTTCTTCTTTGATTTCAGGACATTCATTAATTGCTCATATAGCCCAGTCTGGTTATGCAAAAATCATCGATTTCACGGCAAAATGTTTCGCAGATATCTGAAGCTTGTAAGACATATAGGTGGGGGTTACTAGATGACGAATAAATGAAAAGATACTCTTATTTTTACCTTGCATTTTTTTAAACAATAATTTGTGGTCACAATTTGATTTTTGTCTATAAGTTTTTCCCTTATATTTTCAATAAACAATATTTGTATCATTTTTTTATTTCAAGAATATCTTCATTTTACCGTTTTTTGAATTAAAATTGATAAATAATTTACGGAGATATTTGCAAAAAAGCAGTTTTTTTCCACTAATTTATAAATTTTATTAATTTTTTTTAATGAAACAAAATGTTATTACTACATTAAAACATCGAGGAATTACCGTCCTTTAATGTATGCGAAATTTCCCCCCGATTGGTCAAATAGTTTAAAAGTTATTTAATTTGTTTATCCCCGAGACTAATTATTTAAACTATTGAACTTGCCCTATGAATAACGCTAGACACATTTAGCATATTTTATAGGATTATTTAAGACTTAAACTATCTCAGAACTTAAATGAATATTGCGTTTTCATTAAAATTATTTACAAAACAAACGTTTGAAAACTGGGTATGTTTTTTACTTATAACAATTGTAATAACTTCTATATTTTTCAAGCTACAGATTTGTACGTACAACCATTGGATAGCTGGTAAAAAAACTCGCATTTGAAAAAAATATAAACCTTTTATGACCAATAGGAACAAAGTTAGCGACTATTTTTTTAAAAATCATATCTTCATTGTTTATAAACATTAAGAAGTAAAATTTGTACAAATTTTTAATAAAAATCTAAACTTTATATTGAAACTTATAAATATAAATATCATCAAATTTTTCGAAACTTACAGCTTTTCGAAACGAAGGTACTTTCGAAAGATTGACATAGGAAAGTGGAGGGGAAACTTCTTTTTTTAAAGAGAATCTATATATATATATATATATAATATATATATAGAAGATTGGTAACTTGAAAAATGTGTTTGTAATAATCAAGTTCTGCTCTTGACAAAATTGTAAACAGACAGTCTGCTCTCTTGTTTCGATTTCCCAGACCATAGTTTCATATACACTTTCCGCTTTGTCCCGTTCCAATCTTTGTAAGGTCACCTAGGACTATCGTGGTTTCTCTTTTGTTTTCGTTATTCTCAGTGCCTCTTCGATATCTCGGTAAAATAATTCCACTTCTTCTTTATCAGCATTAGCTGTAGGAGCATAAACTTGTATCAAATTCAGTTTTGCATAAGATGTCACCAACTTCAGTAGGTACCTACTATTACCCTTTCTGAGATAGGGAAATAGCATTCCACCGCTCCATTAGATTTTTTATTAACTATTACTGCCACGCCATGTCTGTGTTGGTTATTTTCGCTACAGGAATAATATATTGTGGCTTCGTATATTGAAAAACAACCTGAGTTGGGTTTTTCTTATTTCCCCAGTTTACTCTCAGCTTTATCAAATGATTTGTTTATAATTGTGAACTGTAAAATGAATATCTCGAATGAAATTCTGAACGAAGTTAAATTCGATCTCTTCTGGTTCTATATCGGATAGGTTTTCTTAGCGTTCTTCTACTACTATAATTGAATATATTTAATTACTTCAGTCTACCTGATTAGAACTTGTAGGGGCTAGCAATGCTTGGGACAATATCAATATCCGTGACTAGAATCTGACTCACTTCCATTTATATTATTGTCGAATTCATTGGATGGCCCAGGTGGATAATCTGGATCATTCTCACTTTTGGCTAAATACTCTACATTTACATCTATCGCTGTTTCGGCTAAGTGACGCTGCATTGCTACTACCAATAAATATAGGTGCATATGCGTCTCTTTTACTTTAGGACAGCAGATATGTGTCTATACTCTTTGGTTTTACCATGGATATATAATAATTATGAATTATGATGAAAAAACGCAAAGTGCTCTTTAAAAACATTTATTTGCAAGGAACAAACTTCGATTCGAATTCATATACACCTACAGACTGCTGACTCTTTTCATCATATTCTACCCATTCTTTCTCAGTCAAATTTATATTATCAAAGATTTTATTGCTTTCCTCAACTTTAGCAATCCATCCTTCACTGGGAGCAAATTCAAAGGGTTCTATACCACGGCATTCAAAAGAAACAATAGTTTTAAACTTTCCTGAATCTTCATTGGTGTATTTTCCTAGAACATTATAAACAACATAATTTAAGTTTTACTCCAAATATGTTCAATACGTTTTTTATTACCATTAGATCCTGGAACAATATCAAGACAATTCTCTCGACTACAGAGCTTGCACTTGGCAATATAGTTATTCTCCGATTTTCCTGTTTTTCCTGGAAAAGTTAGCGCTTCTGAGATGTCATGCCATTTGTTGGATTCTTCCCCGCAGCTTGTACATTTCAATTTGAGCAGGAAGTTGTAATCAGGATGATTCGTATATAATTCTTCTATTCCTTCGAGCGTAGCCTTGATTTGTAAACTAAGTTTACCCATTTTATAAAAAATTTAAAGTTCTATATAGGTACTAATATTTTTACAAAGTTATGACAAAGTTCAAACTTTTACTTGTCAAATAAAACCTAACCTAAAAATTTGCGGATTGCCAACGTCAAGCTCAAAATTTAACATTGCACCAACGAATACGAATAGACATAAGATTGCACATTGCTTAGACAAGGAAAGACACATTGTGTCAATAACAGAGATATAATATAAAATAAATTAAACTTTCACTCATATATAAAATTCTAAATTCATTTATTTCAAATATTGCATACTGTTTATAATTACATACAATTATCACAGTTTCTTTTTTATACTATGCAATATGATAACAGTTAAACAGACAACACAAAGTTGATGTTATGATTATGGTAGCAATGATTTTGTAATTTTGTATCTTTAGTCATCCTCCTGTCATATCTTGTCATTAGTCATTGTCAGTTTGTCAATTGTGGGATTTGACAAAAAGGGGAAGTAATAAGGATACTGTTTTTAAACAAATAATTAAATTACAACAGCAATATATTATTATTAATGTTGGAGAACGAAAAATCTAAACTACACGAAAGTTAGAATGCAGAAAATGGCAAGAGATTACGATCATTTATTTAAATTGCTAATAATAGGAGACAGTGGTAAGTTAAACTGTGGGTGGGGTTTAAATTAAGGTACAAAATTAATATTTATTTCATTTAAATTTTTACCAAAAATTTCTAAACGTCTCAAGATACAACAATGTTGCAATTTGCTTATATAAAAGTATCATCCTTTGTTGTGTTCTTTCATACAGAGAGGAAGTTGTAAATCTTTGTAATCAAGTTGAAGTAAATAGAATGTAACTAATTTGATTTGATATACTGTTTATTTAGGTTGAAATTAAGTTATTAACGGCATCGTATGCATATCTAAATAAAAATTTGTGTGATTATAACTTTTAATTTATATTGTTATTATATCTAATAAATATTTGTAAAACTCTATTATTAATCAAAAATGTTTTATCATGATAGTATTTGAATATTTAACTATCAGATAACAGTTGAAGTATAAAATTTACTTAGTTTTGCACATTTAAATATTTTGTTTTCTTTCAAGAACATATCAAAAGTTTCATACATAAATAAAAACATCTTTAGAAATATAGGATATATTTCTAAATGTATATAAAAATCTATATATCTAGATCCTTTTTTATACATAGTTATTCTAGGATTTGCTATCTATTTATTGGACAGGAAACACTCTCTTATCCTGTGACAATCAGGGAGAAATGTACAAATACATCTTAGGCAAAATTGCTACACTACTGAATCTAAAAAAAGTTTATATTAAATCCCAAAAAAATATGTAGAGAAGCAAAACTTGGGATCTCAAATAAATTTAAGATGAAAAATATCTCAGAAACATGATATTGGAAGAATAAACAAACAGTACAGTCATAATGTAGAAACAATTGTGAGCATAAAAACATAGCATATTACACAACAACTTATAAATTGTACCAATATAGCATAGCAAATTTGTTGTTTTATTAATTATGTATATATGGAGCAATATTTAAGAAGACATTAACTAGAGATAAGTATTTTATTTTAGGTGTAGGAAAAAGCTCCTTGCTGCTAAGGTTCTCAGATAACACATTTACTGGAAGTTATATAACTACAATAGGAGTAGATTTTAAAATAAAAACAGTTAATGTGAATGGTCAGAAAGTGAAGTTGCAAATATGGGACACTGCTGGTCAGGAAAGGTTCAGGACAATAACAAGTACCTACTACAGGGGTACACATGGGGTTATAGTGGTATATGATGTTACTAATGGTGAGAGCTTTGCCAATGTAAAGAGGTGGCTTCATGAAATTGAACAAAATTGTGATTTAGTTAATAAAGTATTAGGTGAGTATGTTTATTTAATTATTTATTTATTTAAATATGTATTTATTCACCAGATTTTTACAAAATTTAACAAAAATAGATTATCCTAACCATAACAAAGATACTAAAACTAAATATTAAATAATTCTTAAATAATGTTAAACAAATAATTAAAATAGATTAAATTTTCCTGAAAATCTTATTGAAATGAAAAAAGGTCACTCATCTTCCATCCATAACATATTCTGCCAAAGAGTGATTAAAACACAACAGATTATATATACCGCAGATTATAAGATTGATTAGTCATTTCCCAGTATCTGGATTGTGTTCATAGGAGAGAATTCGCCATCATTTGTGTGATAGTGTTTTATACAAAACAAAGCCATGCCAAGAATTTAAATCTTCTTCTAGTTCGATGACCGTTATCGATCATTGGATATCATGTTGCCTACCATATTCACTATCGTGACTTTATTGACAGCAGCTCTAAATAACGATGTAGTTGATTTTCCATACCATTGCCTTAGATTTTTCAGCCATGATGTTCTTCGTCTACCAGGACCACGATTACCTTGGATCTTTCCCTGAATGATCAGATGTAAAAGATCATATTGTTCAGGGTGTCTCATAATGTGACCGAAGTATTCCAGCTTGCGTTTCTTTATTATATTGACCAGTTGTGTTGTTTGGCTCAGCCATCTAAGGACCTCCTCATTTCTAACTCTGTCGACCCAGCTTATTTTCAGTAGTCGTCTGTATACCCACATCTCAAAGGCTGTCAAGCATTTAAGCATAGCCTCAGTTAGAGTTCACGCTTTCACTCCATACAGCAGGACAGGAAAGATGTAGCAAGATGTCATACGAACTCTAAGGTCAATGCTAAGGTCGTGACTGCAAAGTATGTTTTTCATTTTTACAAAGGGAGCTTGGGCTTGTTCTATTTGGCTTTTAATTTCTGCGGTTGGATCCCTGCTCTCATTGATATTACTGCCGAGATACACAAGTTTCTCTACTCTGTCCAGTGTGACATCTCCAACTTTTATACCGTCATCCTGTATATAATTTTGTTTGCTAACTATCATATATTTAGTTTTCTTAACGTTGAGTTTTAATCCATACTGATCACAAGTCTGTTTTATTTTGTTCATTAGATTTTGAAGGTCCTCTCCGCAATTGGCAAGGACTAAGGTACTGTCGGCATATCTAATATTGTTAATGGTTACTCTATTCACAATAATAACTTCGGTTGTCTCCATTAAGGCTTCCTTAAATATTTCCTCCGAATATAAGTTAAAAAGTCAACGCGACAATATACAGTCTTGTCTCACTCCTCTTTTTATATTTATTTCTTCAACCTTTTGTTACCTAGTTGTTCAACCTAGTTCTTGTTCAACCTTTATTCTTACCACTTGATGCCAGTATAGATTTGTAATTATTTGTAGATCTTTATCGTCCAATCCAGCTGTTTCCAATATTTCTAGCATTTTGTTATGTCGGACTTTGTCAAAAGCTTTTTCAAAATCGATTGCACAAATGTACACATTTTGATTTATACCTCTACATCTCTGTACTAGCACCTGTATACTAAACAAGGCTTCTCTTGTACCAAGCCACTCCTAAACCCAAATTGAGTATTGCTAATTCTGTCCTCTAACAGCTTGTAAATTCTGCTGTGTATTACTCGCAGGAAGATCTTCAAAACGTGACTCATCAGACTTATTGTCAGATAATCACTGCATGTCTTTGGGCGATGTTTCTTAGGTATTGTGACAAATGTCGACTTTAACCAATCAGTTGGTAATATCCCAGTGTCATAAATTCTGTTAAAGAGATTACACAGAGCTTTAATAATCCCAAAACTTTAGTATTTCAGCACTTACTTCATTGGGGCCAAGTGCTTTTCTATTTTTTGCTGTTTGTATTGAATGTCTTACCTCACTTTCTGTTATAGATGGATCTGATATAGCAATTGGTGTATAGTGTTATACTCTCTCATCTTCAAATAATTCAGAAATGTAGTTTTCCCATTCTTTTAACTTTTCATTGATGTCTAATATTCTGTGTCCGTTTCTGTCTTCTAAACTTTGGGATACTTGTTTCCTTTTGTTTCCAGCGACCTCTTTTAATTTCTTTTGCAGATGAAATATATCGTGTTTCTTTTCATATTGTTCAATTTCATTACATTCTTTACTATGAAATTGTGTTTTCGCGTGTCTTCACGCGAAAGAATTCAAATACTATATCTAATGTTGATAAGACTTAAAAATCAGAAGTCAGTGTATGGCCAATTAGTTTATTACGAAAAACTTAATCACATTTAGCTCTGTAGTCTTCTAAGGAACTTAGATTTAGCTTTTACATTAGTTTCACCAAATACATGCCTTTTAAGTTTAATTTATAAGCACACATCTGGAGAAACTTATTTTGAATTTTTTCTATTTTATTCTATGATTCTATGGATGAAAGCAAGATATAAAAGTCTATATATGGGCACTGAAAGATCCTGAGAATTTCATCTGATAAAACCTAGATATGCATTATTTGACAAATTGTTAGTGTGGGGTGTAAATGACAAGGAACTGTCAAATAACACCCCCAAATCTCTTCAGTCACTCTTGAGAGAAGGCTTGTATTAATGTGACAGTCAAACATATTATTTTTAGATTTGCTAAAGGATATAACAAAACTGTTATCTTTATTGACTGGAGACTTTGGAAAGAGACCAATTATATAGGGAAATCATGTCTTCTTGGATCCTTAGACAGTCAAATATATTTGAAACTTTGAAGTAAAGCTTAATAAGGTCTATATCAAAGAAAATTGAAAAAACTTTATTACCTCAGAAATATCATTAATAAAGTTAAAAAGAAGAGGAATCAAATGTGAACCTCGTGGAACCCCTGAACTGGCCAAGATAGGAATTGAGACTGAACCCTTTATAAAAGCAAATGAGGTTTTTTTGAAAGGTGGAAATCTTCATAAAGGTACTTACTGTGCTCTCCCCTGGTGTGTGAGATTCAGTCCGCTCGCCTGATCCAGACACCTGTGAAGCCAAGCGAATTGATCACAAAACTGTGAATGACTTCCCACTTAAGCACCCAAATTTCATCGCTTGACTTATTTTATTTGATTTGTTCCATACAATGAGGAATAAAGTCTTGCACTCTCTCATCTCCCATCTTGACTTGTTCTCTTTTGTGCTTCCTTTTTTTTTTTATTATTTCTGTTATTAGGTCTACTATCACGGTAAAGTCCTCTGTGTTTTGCATGGCTATAGTCGTTATATTCTCTGGTGTTGTCTCTCCTAGCCTTGTTTTCATATCATGAATATGTAATGCTCTGCATCGTCATATGCTCCGCATTCTATACATAAACCATCTTCAGTTTTCCTTATGTGATATGTCATTATTATCATCATCATCATTAGCTCAACAACCATTTTGGGTTCTTGGCCTATTCTAGGATTCTTCTCCATTCTGATCTGTTTCATGCTTTTTTTTCTCCAGTTTTTTATTTTTAAGGTTGTTATATTTGATGTATGAAACCTAAATGAGCTTGTCTCCTTATTTTCAATATTCCCGTTCATATTTGTCTTTATTAGGATTACGAGGTTGTCTGCATATGCTATGACTTGGGTGTCTTGACCATAGTCTAATTCTAATACCCTGGTGTACAGTACATTTCATAGTGTAGGCACCAAAATGGACCCTTGCAGTACTCCTGATGATAATTTCATGTCTTTCTTATATACCACATTTAAATACCTTTTTTTTGTGTATTTCCTTTTGATATTTCATTATTTCTTCTGACATCTTTTTCTTGTTTGTTGTATGTGTCCGAGATTCTAAAACCATACTCTCTTGCTGAAATTATTCTCACTACTACAAGTTCTTCTTCAAGTGGGTTCTTAATATTACCTCCATAGAATTTTCGTATGCAATCTAGTAACCATAGTGGTCTGTATGAGTTGGCTTCTTCCAGGTTCTTTTTAAGTTTTTATAATAATATGAGTCTCACCAACTTCAGTTATCTGGAAATTGTTAGGAAAAGTTTGTTAGTTACTCTACGTATCAATTCTAGTTTCTGTTTTACTACCATTTTTATTTCTTCTGGTGTTACTTTATCTGGACCTGGTGCTTTACCTGTCTTTATACTTTCTGTTGCTTCAATGATCTCTTCAGTAGTAAACTTTGCAGGTCTAATATTTTTGTCTAGCTGTAGAAATGTGTTGTTGGGCTTCCTTGGAAATAGGGTGTTCACTGTTTTCATCTTTTTCTTTGCACAAAGGATATATGGGGTCTCAAACTTTAGACTTTTCATTAAAATTCTGTATGTTTTGCTCCATATTTTTTCTTCCAGCCCAATGCACAAGTTCTGCCAACATGTATGTTTAGCCCTTTTAATTATTTCTCTACTTAGTTGTTTTTTTGAGCTTTTATATGACTCCTTATGTTCTTCTTGGTTCCTTTGTGCATCTTTGTGCTATTCGCCTGTGTCTTAGCATTCTTCTTATTTATTTTGGATTTGATCATTACACCTGAAAGGTACTGTGTATGAGGTGTGCCTATTTGTAGTTTGTCATTTGTGTGCATTTTTTCTGGTAGGTTAAATTTCTCTTTTAAATTTTTCTTTCTCCAACACTATCCTCTTACTGCCATACTTTGTGACCTTAGTACCAATTTCATATGTGATGTACCAGTATGAAAGTGAAGTGAAGGTGAAAAGATTCTCATCCAGTACATCCCAATCTTTAATCATCTTGGCAACACTGTTGCTTGCTAGGGTAATATTTATAAGATTTCCAATGTACCTTTCACAAAGGTTGGTTAACCATTGTTTAACACTACAAGGTCTACTGTAGAGATCAACTCCTTCCAAAGTTCGCCCCTCTCGTCATTTCGGGGGATCCCCATAAAAGGGACTTGTCATTTATGTCTCTGGGTACTAACAAATCTGTCGCTCTCTGCGTGACTGTCGGTTCTATTCTCTATGTGTTGTCTATAGCGCTCTCTCCTAATATTTGGGGAAATATAGCATGCTATTATGGTTCTTCTATCAATTTTTATTATTACATGCCCCTCTTTTCATACTCACAAACAAGTTTGCGATTTCCTCACTTGATTCATCTGACGAGTCATTAAAATGCATAAAATTTAGAATTCAGTGGACTTTATTCAAAGAGTTTACATGATTCCAATATTGCTTTCAATCTGAATGAATAGATTCTTCAATGTTGGAGATAAAAGATGTGGAGAATTGATCTGCTAATGCTTTGAATTGTGTTCTAAGATCTGAAAATAACTTATAATCAGCTGTTTATGTTTTTTTTTTCGGAACATAAAGTGGTATTGCTTTAGAAGCTAATTTATAGATATTATTTATTGAGATATTAATATTTGAGTCATCAAAAATAGTATTCCAGTTAACTGACAATTGTTTAGATCTACCAAATATGTAGTATTGTCATGTAATTGTTTAACACTACCGTTACAACTAAGATCACAAATAATTGCCACATGATGAAAGTTATTGGGAAGCAAATTGTCAAATGTCTTATAAACTGATAGTGTGATAATCTTCAATACTGTGGAAAATGAGATTCAAAAATGTTTGATAATAATTTTGTAAATGATTATATACACCATACGAAATGAAAGTAATAAGACATTATGGATATATTAGTGGAGACATTACTGATCAAATAACTATTTTTTTTTATATAATATGGAACTGGAACTTTTAAAAAAATGTTATATCTTTGTTTCAGTTGGAAATAAAAATGACACTCCAGATAGAAAAGTGGTGCTGACAGAGGATGCTCAAAGGTTTGCAGACACTATGAACATTAAGTTATTTGAAACATCAGCAAAAGACAATGTGAATGTAGAAGAAATGTTCCTATCAATAACGAAATTAGTGTTACGCTCAAAGTTGGAGATGCAAGAAAGGCAAAACATCCACTCAAATGATACAGTCAATTTAAGGAAATCTAACAAACAAGGAAGGAAGAAAAATTGTTGTTAGCCTATAAACTTTTTATATTGCAATTTTGTGTGGGTGTATAGAAGAATGAATGGAGCAATTTATCTATAAGGTTTTTTTTTAATTGGTACTGTTTCGTTTGTAGTTTGACATATCTGACATATATAAATTATTTTTACAAATAACTATTATATATGAGACAAAGATATTAGAGTTAATTATGGGAATTAACTGATTTGCTGTATTTTCAAATCATTTTTAATAAACTACAAATAGATCTTTGCCTCAAGGATATTTCATTTGAATGGGTTATCTTATAGGTACTACAGTATACAAGTCAATTATACGAAATTATTTATTTTCTATTCTAAAAATCATCGAATTTTGTCTTTTCTCTTTTCATTTTCAAAATAACATGAAATATTCCCCCAAAAAATTATCCACAACACGACTGTCTAGAACTATCTTAAAATACATTATCTAATGTACATTTGTATGTGTTTTGTCTGCTGTAACTCCAAGTTATACAAAGTTACACAATTTTAACATTATAAATATCTCACTTAAGTTTAATCCTTAATCACTCACCTGAAAAACTCCCATATGAAAAAAGCTGACTTATTTTATAAAAAACATTTCTTCTTCCCCTTTATCATCAATTCCCATTGCATAGCACACAGATCCCCATTCTCTTTTCTGTTTAGTGTTCTCTACTTCATCTCAGTCTTAATATGTCAGTTTAACCATATAGTGTTATTAAGGCATCCTGCTTTTTATTCTTGATCTACTACTTCTCTACATTCAAATTCCAAGGTATTATATTTCCATTACTTGTTCAATACTGATCTCATAAATTTATAGTTTACATCTGATTACCTTTATTATGGTCCTTTGCTGATTACTATTGTTTGGTTTTCTGCGTTGAGATAGTAATATTGCGACATCTGCATAAGAGTATTTTTACATCTTTGTTTCCATTTTCCCATACAAACAATCAAATAATGTGTATTTTAAACAGAAATAACGTATTATACTGTTGCATTTAGTAATTTTTAATATACATCAGACTGAGATTAGATATGTTAAACTACTAGAGGTAATTTTATAGTTTAGAGAACCCTGTATATAACAAATTTGTACATACAGAGTTGTTAATCTACAACGGTGGAGATATTTTTCGTTACAGAGCTCTCTAAAGCCGCAGCAAAAGACCAAAAACTATCAGAGTGATATTTTTAAAAATTCTTTCCTTACCGAAAATTTAAAAGTCATATCGTACATTTCTCCAGACACCAATATATAACTAGATTGTCACATAAAGTTTGTTACAGTAAACTTTGTCACCGACATGATGTCAGAAATGATAGTATTTTATGTCTGGTTTATTAAAATGAACATGAAAATTTCGACATTACATTGGGATTATTGGTTGTTGTAACAGCTTTGTTCTCAACAATTTTCAAATAAAGTATAATTGTTTTTTCATGACATCAGTATCCATATTTGAAATGCAATTTTTAACTTTTTGCATAATTTTGGAAAATAAGAAAGATTTGCATGGACTATGCAAAGTTTTCTACCGCTTGTCACATCAATGTCCATATTTATAAAGAAATTGTTAATTTTTATGCAAAATTTTATATAAATATGCAAAATTTTATATAAATATGCAAAATTTTACATAACTATGCAATATTAAAAAAAATGAATGATTTATATTCAGTTTTAATCTGTTGATAGTGATTTACTGGAACAAATGATATAAAAACCATAATTTCTAGAACACTAGCGGCTATGATTGAGATTATCCACATTTTGATTTAGATTTGTCACAAAAATATTTATATTTACAATGAATTTTAACATTTTTGGGAAAATTTTCAATAATTATGCAAAATTTCATATATTGAATGAATTATGCAAAGTTCTAAACTCAGTATCTATCAGTGCTATTCACAGTACTGGGGTCCTTGATTGATATATTTCAGTTTTTAATTTATTACATCAATATCCATATTTATGTTGAGGTAGATTGAAACATTATGCAAACTTTTATAAAAATACTCAAAGCCTCATATATGTAGATGCAACAGACCAACAAAATGAAATCATACACTAAAGGATATTCATAATTGTATAGATACAAAAATTTTTGAATATTTTTCCCAATTCGACTATATCAAAAGTGATTTTTCAGTTAGTTATCAAGATCAAACTATCAAAATATGCAAATTCTCAATTACTGGCATGGAATATGCACGCAACTATTGGTGTCTGAGCGAAATGGTTTTTGCAATTTTAAGTGTGATAGATGGAGGCATAAGCGTGTTTGTAAAAAATATAAATAATTAAAAAAACCGTTTTCAATGTTAGCCAAAATTTTTCCAATTTTTTAGTACCTACTATACCCTTCCATTTTTAAATTTGTTATATATTTATGTACTCTCTTAGTTAATTTGAATTGTACATATTCACTATCTTTTTTATATTCACCATTAGGTTTTACTTTTAACCCTTATTCCCGAGATCTCTACAAAACGATATTAAAATGACATGTACGGTTTCATGAAAGTCCACAATTGACATTTAATTTTAAGAGATATTCTTTGTGTTCCATTTATAACGGTTTCTTTAAGAAAACAGTCCACAGTTTTTTATATAAAGATGCTAAGATTCTAAATTAGCTTTGTGGAGATCCCTGAGGATAATAACCAGACCTCTAACATTTGAAGATATTTTAATAGCAATGTATATTACTATTAAATAATAAATCTGTTAAAAAATCTCAACTATTAGAGGTCTACTTTATATTATTTTAGTATGTCTAAATATAAAAATGAACTGATATACCTATCTAACATTTTGAAATGATAAAATGCTTTGATAATTGAGAAAATAAGGGATAAAATGAGAAATTCTTGTCGGATTTGTTTTTTTTCGATATATCGAAAAAAGAAATCAAATATTACAAACGCCAAATTGTCTGGATCCGAGTTAATTAATCATTTTGTTTTTCTGGACATGACTACTAGCTCCATTAAGAATCTGATTTACCCGTAAATGCGCGTCACCGATTCAGCAAGTTGGGCGATTGTTATATTTTATCAAGTTGTACTAATCTATATTTTGATATTGTAGCTGTAAGTGTACCTTTATTCCAGTGATGTACTGTGTAATTTTTTTGTTATGATCCTCAACTAAGTTGGCATATTATAATGCAAACTTCATATAATTTTGTTAAAAGCCCAAGATATTTGTAATTTGAATTACTAATGAGGTAAGAATTAACGTGGCATAACTCAATATTTGCAATTTCACCAATATATACATTGATAAAAGTGTGTGGAATATAGATAGTTAAAAAATTAATCACAAATGAATATGACAGCACTGACGTTACCATGATATGTCCAACACCAGGTAGCCACGCCCCTTTCAATATTATATGAATTCATCATGGGACAACACGATAGGCAACGCTCACTTTAAATATGGCGAATTTGACATAATTACTGAAATGGCAGAGAGGGGATAGCAGATGACAGTTACTGTCAACATGCTTGACATAAATTACAAGCAGTAAATGAGAAGTAACATTAACAGATAAATGACGATTGGTAGATAAGAATTTACCTAATAACTAGAATACTGTGTACATATTGCTTAGGTTAAACTTTGCAAAAGACATTGCCACATTCTCTTTGAATATGGCAGCTTTGACATCACGAAAGTCTGTTTGTCTGTTCAGGAGCATAGTAATCCATGCCCTTTTAAATATGACCGCTCCGCCGTCAAGCTGTACAGTACTGCGAGACTCATTCAATCTGGCAATATTGACGTCATTGTTGAGATGACAGTTATTGGCAAAATGGTTGGCATACATTATTAGTTAAATATGACAAATAAAATGATTATTGGTAAAAACTGGCAGAATATCTCAAATACTGTATACATATTACCCAGGCTAAAGAAGAATGGAAAAATCAATAGGACTATATATAAAGACCTCTCTTTGTAAATGTTCGATACTTGATTTATTTTGTGATAACAAATTGTTGTTGTCAATTGTAGCTGCCGTAGTTTACAGAATTCGGTATTAAAAGAAACATTAAAATATTGAGTTATGCTATTTTTACTGGATCATCTGAGATTGAGTGAACATTTGATCTGTCATTGAACTCTCCTACCACTCTCGCTATATGTTCGTAAATAAAATAAAAGCTTCCATTTGTTTCTCCCCTTTTTACTTAAATGTATAATCAGTAGAGACTATTTGTATGAAATTAAAGTATGGTTTCATAAAGAAATTTGTAAAAATTGGTGTACATGATATTTTTTAGGTGATTCGCTTAATTAAATATATATTTGGAATATTGTAAAAATGAAATGTTGGTTTTCAACGGGCATATCAAGTTGCTGAGAATCATTAATAGACAATATTAAATTAATTATTTATTTAATGATACAATGAAGGAGCATTATTTTAATTGCAAAGTGTTAAAATTACGTGTAATCTGTTTATTATCAAATAAATTGTATATTTGTTGTGGAGTAGTTTCTTATATCTTGCATTACCCAAAACGCCACGACTTGGATGTCTACTGAATGAATATATTATTATGTTCACCTAATAGCTGGACTAATCGAATTATGAAAGAAATAGGCACATACAGATGTTTTGCACCAGTTTCCATTAAGAGACAATGGGCAATAGTGACACAGGAAAGGCGTCTTGACCAAATTGAACCAAATTAGATAGCTTATAAAATTAACTAATTATAGAAGACTGCAAGCAGTAGTAAAAAAAAACTTTTAATAACACCGATACAATCTCGGAATGGCGTGGCAGTGATAGTAAATAATGCCATTAAAACCTCCGTAAAAGAATTGGTAATTGGTAAAAGAATGGAAAAGGGTGTTGAAGAAAACCTTTGGAACGAGACCGAGATAAATGGAGACGGGAAATCAGAAGACGGCGTAGAACGTTATAAACTGATTGATTGATATTCCAAAGTTTTACTCTTTAGTTTAATATATTGTTTATTTAAAATGTTCACAGATTAGTTGTTTATAGAAGTGAACGATTGCAATTTCTGCGCCCCATGAAAATTAGTATGAGTTCCACGGCACCCGCTGTGGCCACGCATAAAGATATATTCCATGGGCCTAGAGCTAAATGAAACAACCACGATTTTACAAAAAACGAAGTGTTGAATCGTTCAACAGTCCGGTTTAACAAATTGGAATTATATCAAAGTTCAACTACATCTCCCTATGTACACTTGAAATTATCATGTCGACCCTCCCAACGAAAACTGTCGTAACTCATTTTTTTTCAGTTTTGAATTATTGCCATAAACAGATTTCATGATACCAAAATTTATTCCAGAGAATACTATAATAACTCAAATCGTAATATAGACAACACAATATACATTAACGGAAATGTAGTATCCCAATGCTCTTTGTACTTTACCGCGAAGAAAGTAGTATTATGGAGTTACTATAGTATTCGCTGTAAATTTGTGAGAAGTGACAGAGATACGATTATACGTTTCAAACGAATAAAATTATAGGTACCTAATGATAAATGTCATTTCACATTAGATGAAGTTCCTTGTTTATTGTTATATTAATTTATAATAATGTCGCAGGTCTGTCATCAAAAAGGAAGCGAAAAGTGACAGAGAAAGTTAAGATAGAAAGAAAACGAGTTAGAAATGAGAACGAATGGATTGACAAAGAGTCAAAAGAGAACTTAATAGCGGTCTGGAACATAAGAACCGTAAAGATAGGTTTATACCTGTAAAGAATATAAAGGTTCCTTATTAGAATAGTTGCAGATATAAATGTAATAGCATATTAAATTTTAAAACAAGACAAGTAATTTTTGATGAATTTTGGAAACTTGGAGATCACACCAGGCAGTGGTATTTTCTTGCAAGGTGCGTGACACAATAATGTAGCACGCAAATCACTGTAAACAATTCTAGCAGAAACTTTTCGCGCAAATATAAATTTATTATTGGTTATGTCGAGAAACAAATTTGCAAGACAATGTTCTTGAATACGCTTGCGATTTCTGACTAATTAACTTTTGATAAAGCTGCATTGAAAAAAATTAGTGAAGTACTAATACCATAGAAACAGATAAGAGAGAAAAACATAATACTACACCACACAAGATCCCGGATAGCATATATAAAAGATAACATTGTAGAACACATAAAATTATTTCCACTTGTACCTTCTCATTATACAAGTACGAACTCAAAACACATGTCCTTAGAAGAGGGCTTAAACATATCTGTAATGCACCGAATGTAGGTGGAATATTCCAAACTCAAAAAATGGGATGCCGTCACTACAGTTAGGCAATACAGGGATACTCTAAACTCACAATTCAACATTGCATTTTTCGAGCTTAAGAAAGATCAGTGTTCAGTACGCAGTGCTTATAATAATAATACATATCCTAAAAAAAACGCAATAAAAGAAAATTACACTAGCCATGTTTTAAAGAAAGAATCTGTTAAAAATCTAAAAGATGCTAATAAGGAATTGTCAAAATGTGATAAATAGTTTTTTACAATATGCTTCGATTTTCAGACGGTATTAGTAACGCCGAGGTCAGTGGTAAGTAACTTTTATTTTAAGAGTAAGCTTGCAACTTATAATTTTATTTTTATATTTACTACTTGGTCAATAATCAAGGTAATTGCTACGTATGGCATAAACAAATATCAAATAGGGGGCCGAATGAAACTGCAAGCTGTTTATGGCATTTTTTTAAAGGTGCAAAACAAGATGGCATTCGAAAAGTCGGGTTATACTCCCACAATTGCAGAGGGCAAAACCGCAACCGTTTTAATTGTTCTATGTTTGCTCATGATGTTTCCTTGAGATGGGTCATACCCAGAACGAAAATGACAGCATGCACACTGTGGTAGAAGTTGCAAAGAAACGACATTCGGATATTAATACTCCTGACCAGTGGATTAGTCTCATACAGATATAGGTAAAAATTACTTCCCCAGAGTATAGAGTGAAATAAATGTCTTAAGAAGACTTTTTTAGTTTTAAACCAATGGTTCAGAAACAGAACTGGAAAAGAGGTAACACGTAGAGGTGGATAAGGAAATAAGAAAGGTTCCGAATCTGAACAAAAGCGGTGTATTGTACTGAGCAATTAGTCGTTACTTATTATTGTAATTATTATCATAATTTAATTATAAACAACTTGCTAAAAATAAAATATTTGTTAATTATATTTGTTTTATTCTTGTAGTATGTTTTTAATAAAGAAATTTTTGTCTACGAAGACTGTAGTAACTCATTCAAAATTCAAAAATCGATTTTTTTTATAAAATTTATATTAGTTTGCAATGATTCCGATTGCACAAATAATTACTAGGTGAAAAAATGAAAAATGTAATAGTGATAATTAAAAAATTACAGAACGCCACTTTTCACAATTATTTTTAAAAGCAATTATCTCGGAATAAGCGATTTTGAGTTACGACAGTTTTCGTTGGGAGGGTCGATGTATGTATGTGGTTGCACTTATTCTTTATTAAACAACTAATACGAGCAACTCATATAATTTGTCAATCAAGTATTTTTTCAAATCAGTTACTAATTTTTGGGAATCTTTATTGGCATACAAAAGACCAGTATTATCAGTATAAAGATACATTATTAGGATTATAGTGGTTAATTGTTAATTGGATAATGAATTCACATTAATCAGGAAATCTGTATATTTAATAACATAATTTCAATTATCTACAGTTTTAGTACTTTGTAATATTAATGACCGATTTTATCATAAAAGCTGTCAAGAACCTTTGATTATTTCTAAATATGTGGGAATTAATCGTGAATTAGAATACTTTTCGACGTCTATGTCACAATCCTGTCTTAATTTAACAGAAAGACTTGGATTCAGGCAAAATTTCTGTAGCTGTTTGTATAAGTCCTCATTGTTTTTATATAGGCACTGTTGGGGATATATCTCCGGATATACTAACGAGTTTGGTACTAACGGAAAACAACCGCAATAAGTAGCCTCCAGCCTGAAACATATATAAAACTGTGTAAATATAATCCAAGTAGACGAAGATTTAAAATAAATAAACGAAAGACTTATAAACAAGATAAGTTATATTCTCTAAGCTGCCTATAGAAGATTAGTCCGACATTCGATGAACTGGGACTCACCAGTCTAAAAGTTGATGGAATGTAGGTCCCGATCAACGATAGAGTGGTGCAGTATTCTAGCAGCATCGAGAAATTTTTGGAATCTAGAAGTGGTTCACAAAATATATATGAGGGGATTAGATGCTAAGGGGTACAAGTGATAAAATGATTAAGCTGAGAAAAACGAAGTCAAAGTTAATTTTATATAGTAAATTCTACATCGAATTAATTACTTATCGACCTGTTGAATTAATTTTACATATTTTATTTATCTAATTATACAAGCGTTTTTACACTTAGTATTTATTTTCATTCAAAACATTTGACATTTTGAAAAAACATTTGCACTTGTACCCCTCTGCTTCAAATTTTGCACATTCTATTTTTCATTCTATTCGTAAAGAACAAACACTTTATTCTTTAAACAAAAAACATTCTATTCGTAGAACAAATAGAAAGAACACACATTTTATTCTTCAAACAAAAAAACATTCATCATAATTGGAGACCATATCCATTTCCAATTCTTGGGAGTTTCTTTCATGTTGTGGGTTATTAAAGGATTCGCGATTTCGACCTTTAATGTGGCTTAAATTACGGTAAAAATCATGGTGAATGGGAGGTATAAAGGGTAAAAGTTGCAACCAATTTTTGTATTTCGGGAGTATTATTTTGATGAGATTTTGGCGGAGAGACGGAATTTCGATGACCGATGGAATTTCTGCAGGTCGTCCCACCTTTTTAGTTTTTCTCAAATCAACAGTGTTAAAGGGAACATCTTCCGACAGAGTATCGTTATAAAACAATGTGCAAGGTGTCTGCTTTTCGAAATGAAACCATTGCATTCTTCGTAAGCCCTTCACAGTTATTGAAAATATGGCGACAGTAGCTGATTTTGACAGGTTGTTAATTGTGTTCATTACAAAATTCTTTGTAAAGTTCATACATTTTATTGACATTTAATGCAGGATCTAGATATTTTCGATTTGGATTGTGATGGCTTGTATAATGACTTAAATTTTAGGAATGAGTTTATATGTCTCTTCACAAAATTTTTTACAGAACTATCAAACAAAAAACTGTTTGCATATACGCTTCTCATTTAAATGTATATTTGTGCTAACTCTCTTATGACTTATGGCTCTTTGAACTCTACGATGAGGGGCACTTATTCTAATGCACGAATGCAAAAACGAAGTTTAAAGATTCCAATTTTGTAATTCCCAAAATTTGTTAAAAATATTATCTGTCATTTTCGGAGAACTCGTTGGATTTGTACCTACAGGAATGGGGATAAGGTCACACTTGCTTAGCTGCGTGAGCTTTTCCTTTTTGTCCTACGTACTCTAGACCACTATTAATTTTTTCTTTGCTTGCAAACTTTTTAATTTTTCTGGATTTATCTTCCTTTTTCTAGGTTTCGTGGTTATTTCCTTCAGACCGTTCTTCCGAAACGAAAGAATGGTCTGAAATCTCGAAAATACCATTTGAAGATATGTCGTCATCATCAGAGCTGTGTGGTACAAAATTCTTGTCACGATCTGAGTCATCCTGATCTTCATCACCTGTAAAAATGAATAGAAATAGAAACTAAAAATAATGACTTCGATTAAGATAAACCCAGACTTCAACATTTTCAAGCAAAATACTTAAGTGCCGAGTGATTATTAATATTAAAAATTGCAAAATCTACAAACTTCTTCGATTATTTTAGTTTAAATAAATTCATGTATAAAAGCTAAACCACTGAGGAAAAAAGTAAAACATATTACTAACAATATTGCAATAAAACGAGAAATATTGACTCTGTAAAAATCTTAAGCAAAGTTTTTTATGTTACCCAAAAATAAATCAAATTAAAATTTAATAAACCAAACTAAAAATAACTAGGTACATTAAAAAATAGTCAAAATGTTTTTACTTACTTGGTATATTTTGTGATATTATTTCACTCATTTTGAATACTTTTTTAACAGCTCAATTTGCAAATTGAGCAACAGCTCAATTTGCAAATTAAGCTGTTGTGATATAGTAAAAACACCATCCTGCAGTTGTGATATAAGTTTTTCACACACACACTCAGCTACAGCTCCACAGGAATGCAGCAGTTTTGTACCTACCCTACAATCCTCACCGTAGTTGACAATGTTTTAATGATTACTGGTATTCACCGCATTAGATATTAGTTTCAGTTAAAAATTACTTTATAATTATTGATAATACAAATTAAAATATATGTAAAAAAATGTAGATGCCTACTTTTATTATTTGAACCTGCAGAACTTGACATAATGCATTGCATTCTTCAAAAACGCAGCCAAGTGAATACTGTCTGTGGTGGAAATTTTAATAGGTAAGATAAACTTTTAAAACTATCACCAGTCGCAAAAAATCTCAGAGCAACAAAAATATTTCTTGAACTGAAATCGCCTTTCTCATATTGGTATCACGTTTAGTTATCAGAGAGCCTATTTAATTCAATAGGAACTCAAAGTCGACAACGTACATTCTACATAATTTTTCGAATTTTCCTGAAGGTTCTCGTTTGATGTATGGGAGGCGCTCTACCTATCTACAAAAAAGATTTATATATTTTGTTCAGTTTTTGTATCTACAACGCTGTTTTAGTTAATTTTAAGTATAGCTACTTACCTGTTTCAACTTTTATTTAATGATACCATCCACTATCTTCCCTTTTTTTAATTTAATTAAATAACCAGAGCACATCACAACAAAATCTGCGGAAGCAACAACGAGAATTTCCGGACGACCGCTATCGATAATAACTGTCACACTAATGCTTCAGTTGTCAAGGTTTTTAAGAATACTTGCTTATACTTGCCATGTCTGTCACTCTAGTGTACTTGTGAATTATAGGTACATGTCGTGTGAGCGCCCTGCTTGCCATCGCAATTGCAAAGCTCGTATACTTGCAAAGTAGGCAAATAATTGTGTACTTGCCAAGTATACTCCATTCCACGAATATACGACTGTTTTAAATTCGCTTTAAGGTGTCGACTTAAATGGTCCAATGTGCTGACTTGTACAATGGTAAATTCTCCCTATTTTTAAAATACTGTTATGACAGATATACACCTTAGATTTAAATATGAAGTTATGATCTAAATATAGAATTGATAGTTTATAGAATAGTTGTAATTTAAATTTTGAAGTATACTCGTATAATTACTCTCATTGACTTTGGTATTGTACACAAGTTGGTTTTTGAATTAAGTTTTTTTTTTTTTTTTTATTATTTTTTTTTTGTTTTTTTTTTTTTTTTTTTTTTTTTTTTTTTTTTTTTGTTATTTTTTTTTATTTTTTTTTTTTGTTTTTTTTTTTTTTTTTTTTTTTTTTTTTTTTTTTTTTTTTTTTTTTTTTTTTTTTTTTTTTTTTTTTTTTTTTTTTTTTTTTTTTTTTTTTTTTTATTTTTGTTTTTTTTTTTTTTTTTTTTTTTTTTTTTTTTTTTTTTTTTTTTTTTGTTTTTTTTTTTTTTTTTTTTTTTTTTTTTTTATTTTTTTTTTTTTTTATTTTTTTTTTTTTTTTTTTTTTTTTATTTTTTTTTTTTTATTTTTTTTCTTTTTTTTTTTTTTTTTTTTTTTTTTTTTTTCTTTTTTTTTTTTTTTTTTTTTTTTTTTTTTTTTTTTTTTTTTTTTTTTTTTTTTTTTTTTTTTTTTTTTTTTTTTTTTTTTTTATTTTTTTTTTTTTTTTTTTTTTTATTTTTTTTTTTTTTTTTTTTTTTTTTTTTTTTTTTTTTTTTATTTGTTTTTTTTTTTTAATTTAATTAAATAACCAGAGCACATCACAACAAAATCTGCGGAAGCAACAACGAGAATTTCCGGACGCCCGCTATCGATATTGACTGTCACACTAATGCTTTAGTTGTCAAGGTTTTTAAGAATACTTGCTTATACTTGCCATGTCTCTCACTCTAGTGTACTTGTGAATTATAGGTACATGTCGTGTGAGCGCCCTGCTTGCCATCGCAATTGCAAAGCTCGTATACTTGCAAAGTAGGCAAATAATTGTGTACTTGCCAAGTACACGAGTCGTTTGAGTCCGCCTTAAAAGTTGAAAATGGACGAGATATTGACTAAAAACGATTCCTTTAAAACTAATCCCTGCAAAGTCTTATGCTCGCGCCTTTACAGCGTACGTACGACCTCAAATATTAATTTTAGCAAAAAAAGGAAAGAGATCAAAATTGTATAAAATATAATTCTCCTCATTTTGGATTATGTACATTCATGTCCTAACGTTAATAACAAACGAGATAATTCGATCATTATGATTCCTCCCTCTTCCACTATTTCTCCTTTAACTCGGAAAATATCAATCGCACGAAAAAAAAAAATTCTATAGCAGAAATAATAGGAAATCGCATTTGCAAATATTTCAATCCGTCCTATTTTTGTCGAAAAATGGAAAATGGCGGAGATATTGAGCAAAAACGTTTCTCCTTTAAAATAGAGATGACGTGTGACGCACCGGCTCAATTCAGTAGCGATTTTAAATTTGTACTACTATTGACCCCCTCTAAAGCTTAGAATAATAAAGTTTGGTACAGCTTGCCATGCAAGGTCAAATGCTATTCCGACTGGACTATTAATGATGTGCTGAAACCTTGGCTGCACTGCAGACGTCACGTTTGCAGAATGCAGGCAAAAGATCACTTTTACGGAAAATCGATTTGTGTCGAGTTTTGTCAATACATATGATTAGGTGTTATTCTTTGTTCTTTTTTAAATACCTTACCAGGTTTGAAAAGCTATTTTTTAAACCTAACAAGCGCCATTCTTTTCAACCATGCCTGTAGTGCCAGTGTACTCAACAATGCTTTCAAAAATATCTTTAGGTGCTCCTATTCTATTTTTTTTATCAATCTTGCTTCCAATAATCACTCAACAGATATTTTGTTCTTCATTCTGTGCTCTAACCAGCCAAGATGTCTCTTTTCTATAAGCGATGTTATTGATTCCATATTTAAGTCTGTCCCAATTATTTTTTATTTTGTTTACCAAGTAAATTTTAAATTTGATTTTTCAATTATATCAGGTGTCTTAACTATCCATCTTTTGCTTTCATTTGAAATGCAGCATTCACGACGACATGTTGTTTGATTTTTCTAGTGTCTTATTGTGAACATTTTTAAGTGTCGCCCTTTTCACTTTTACTTTCTTCTGGTTACACACCTTAGAGGCTTGCTTTGTAAAACTATAATTATTTTTATAATCTCTTAAGCATTTACAAAAATTTTAACATGTAATTGGGTTAATTGTTAAAAATTTGTAATAAATGACTACAAATCACCCAAAAATGAGTTCATTTTAAACCACTTTTTAGTGGTTTTACTACCGAAGACTGAATCTAATTCTTAGCTTCTAATTAATCAAAATAAATTCATATGAGATGAGATTTTTACATTGCCTAATAGAAATTCATGACTAATCAAATATATAAAATAATACTGAGAGCCTGGAATGAGGAACAAATCCCGGAAGAGTGGTGTATTGGAATCGTTTGACCGCTACACAAAAAGGGTGACCAATTGGAATGTAGAAACTATAGGGGAATAACCCTCCTTAATACAACATACAAAATATTTTCGAGGATCTTATATGGTCGCCTAAGTGCATATTCCGAGGAAGTTCTCGGGGAATATCATAGTGGCTTTAGGCCTGGTCGATCAACAACAGATCAGATCTTTGTGCTAAGCAAATACTGGAAAAAACCAATGAATTCAATATCGATACATACCATCTTTTTGTAGACTTCAAATCTGCCTATGATAGTGTCCTAAGAAATCAATTGTATGAAGCCATGAATGAATTCCACATCCCCGATAAACTGATAAGATTGGTTAAGGCTACAATGCGTAATGTGGTTTGCAAAGTCGAAATATAGTGCGAACAATCACAGGCGTTTGGAACGCATGTTGGGCTGCGACAGGGAGACGCGCTGGCGTGTCTCCTTTTCAACATAGCACTGGAAAAGACGATCAGAGATGCCCGAATAGACAACAGAGGAAATATTTTTAATAAATCATCCCAAATTTTGGCATATGCAGATGATGTGGACCTAGTTGCCCGCACAACACGCAAGCTAGAAGAAATGTATACCACCTTCTCAAATGCCTCAAAATCGATGGGCTTGCAAGTAAATGAGGAGCAAACTAAGATGATGGCATCAACACCCAACAATAGAGTCAGGAACATCGGTCCCCAATTCACGGTTGATAACTCTACCTTTGAAGTGGTGGACAAATTCACATACTTAGGCTCCCTGATCACCAAAGAGAACGCCATAACGGAAGAAATCAAGCGAAGGATAATAATGACAAACAGATGACATTTTGGACTGAGTAGACATGAGAAGTAGAAACTTAAGCCAAAAAACAAAAATAACTATATACAAAACCCTTATACAGCGAGTGTTGACATATGGATCGGAGACATGGACCATCTCCAAGGCAGACGAAGACCTTCTGCTTATATTTGAACGAAGGATCCTGAGAGGAATATTTGGTGGCATCTGTGAAAATGGTGTTTGGAGGAGGAGATACAACTACGAGGTATACCACAGATATAAACAAATATTTGGTGGTAAAGATGTAGTGTCTCTTATAAGAATAGGAAGACTAAGATGGGCAGGACATCTAGCAAGATCACAGCAGAACAACCCTCCTAGAAGAATCTTTATGTCACAACCCGTGGGAAGTAGAAAAAGGGGTAGGCCAAAACTCAGATGGAAAGATGGTGTAGATGAGGATGGTAGAAAGATAGACGCAGCAAATTGGCAACGGTTGGCAATGGATAGGACTGCCTGGCGTAATAGACTTGGGAAGGTCGAGGCTCTTTCATAGGGCTGTAGCACCATTGATGATGATGAATAGAAAATTCAAGGGACCACACAGAAAATTTAAATGATTTACAAATTTGAACTATAAACTTTCAAATTATACATATTCTACTTTATATTGCCTTAAAAAATACCTTAATTTAAAAATTCTTATACCTATTTAGTTAAAAATACAGTAGACTCCCTCTATAACGAGAACTGAAATGGCAGACTAATTACCTCGTTATAAGCAGATCTCGTTATATCAGACAACAATAATACCGTGCATACATATGAATATGTAGTTTTCTAAGACATTAACTTCCTTTAGTAAAGCCATTCGGAGCAATATAAGTTGCTAATAAATATTGTTTGAATAGCGTTTTAAAAAAAAAGTTGTTTACTTTTATTGTCAATGAAATATGTTAAAGCAAAAAGGAGTTGTTTACTTTTATTGTCACTTGTATACATTAAAACAAAAAATCTACTTACATTTTTTTCCAACTACATAATGCATAAAGCGTATTTTGAATGATAACATAAACTATTGCTTCTGCAACTGGAAGCAGTCTGTTATTTTTGACTGCTTTAAATTGTCCAGTATCATTCTATCTATCATATTTTCTAAAGATGCGAAACAGTTGTATTTATTGTAAAGAAGTTTATTGCGGGCGACAGTTGAGTTTATTGCGGGGAAGTTTAAAAAGGTGGAAAACATAAAAAACATGTTTATTGACCTTAGTTTCTCTCGTTATAACCAAATTTGCCTCGCTATAGAGGGTTATACTTCAAAAGAAATTTCACAGGACATCTAATGTACCTCGTTATAAGCGAAACCTCGTAATAACCGTGTTCGTTATAGAGGGAGTATACTGTATAACAAAAAAAAACATGTCTAAAAATTACATTACTTACATAGATACTCCAAAAAATTCATGTTTTGCCGTTGAAACTGCAACATGTGCTGATGACAGAACATCATAATAACTTTCTTTACTATGTACATACCCAAATTGTACAATATTGTCTGATAACTCCTGCTTTGCTTTCTCAAAAATTTTAGGTACTTCAGAATACACTTCCCCAAGAACAGATACTTGAAATGGAATATTTTCAAGTTTTAATCTGAATAGAACTTCGAAAAAGTCATTTGGGCCTTTATCAAATTCCCATCGATGCGGCCATACTATATGAAGCACAGACATTGATTTCTCTTTAATTGATTGCATAGGAAATGAAATTGGAAAATACAATACTGTACTTTTTAATGCTATTTTGTCTTTAATCGATTTTGGCCTATGATCAGGAAGACACTTTAATATTCTGTGTATGTTGTTAAGGAACGAACTCATATTGAATTCAGAATTGAAGAGTACTATATCTGCTGCTAAACTAAAATTAAAACATTTTTGAAGCTATTGCTTTAAAAATATGTAGAACACTTACCAAGATGTTATTTGATTATATGCATACTGTACATCCCTTGATTTAATTTCTTGAACAGGATAAATTAACTGATTTTCATGAAAATATATGATTTTCTTAAGTGGACTTAAATCAGGCCTCATACCTATTAATTCAGATATATTTAAAACTGAACTAGCAAATAATGTTTTCTGGTTAGTGATTTTCGGTATTTTTTCATAAAGCTGTAACGCCCCACACCTAGCTCGCCAATGCCACTTTTTGGAAGGCAGAGTCACCAGTGAATAGTTGATGTTTTCATTCTGAAAACCTTTTTTTAAATTATTTTTAAAATGTTAAGTCAAACAATGCTTAAATCTAAATTACATATAGCACCTTTAATAGCAATAAACACATTACTTACTATGGGTAATACTATCAATCAAAACTTTATGTGAGCCTCCATAAAAAGGTTCTATTATTATAAAATCTGCATTATTCATATTTAATTGCACTGTGAAGCTTTATCACTAATTAAATTTACATAAATAAAAATATCGCAAAAATAAGAAATCGCAAAAGTTCATATTAAGCGAAATTTGCTTGCATAAAAGAAAAAATGTAGGAAAAGAGTATTATAAAATTATATTTATTTATTTTACACTATAAACAAATTAAACGGTTAGAATAAACAACATTTCTTCTTTTTCTTGAAGACATTCTTGTCGTAAACTTGGCCTTGTCACAGTATTTAATTAAAGTACAACATCAAGGTTATGTCAATGATTGTATTATTTAGTTAAAAGGTTAAAAGCATACTTGTTATGTTTTTAAGTACTTATTATCACAGAAAAGTTTTATGAAATTGTAGTCGTCTACAATAATTACAATAATTCATTGTTTCAAATTATGGTGGCCTTAAGCCCCTTTGTGTATTGGGCTCAAAACGAAAGTAATCTCTTTTTGAAAGTCGACTTAAAAGATGTAAAGGTAAGACCTTTAACCTGAACTAAAATATGTAATATAATGTATCTAATGTATCGATTTTTTAGGAACCAGAAATTATTTTAAATAACAGACGATTGCAATTCCATTCACAAGGGCGAGGAGCTCAAGGTTTGAATGACTATGAATTTGTTATTGATTTTCATTCAAAGTTAGATCATCATGTAAGTAATATTCCTGTGAAATATTTGTTGGAATATAAATTAATTTATAAACAAAAAAGTATTAACTACTCAGATTAAAACTTTTTAATACATTTCTTCTACCATCTTCATTCTTCCAGCATTTTTTACTGTTTTAAGGTTGTTTTGTATCTAGTATTTTCTTAACAGCTCTATCTGAAATAATACCACACATTTAAGTTATTCATTTGTTCAAATACAATGTTATAAAATCAATGGGCTTATTGATTCATACAATTTTTATAAAATTCTGCAGAGTGTTTTCGCAGTTAAAAGGATATTATTTAATTAAAATTATTGAAATTTAACTGGTAACAACTTTTTTATTTGAATTTATCCATATTAAAATATGTTTTTAATACTAACGAATTTAATACATACCATGTTCTGGAACTTACTCGAATGTTTTAGTTGATAAAATTAATGAATACTTACTAAAAGATTTTAAACATTCAACATGGGTAAGTGATAAGGATGTGTCATGTATATATTATAAAATTATTTGCAAGTAAATGGTATGTTACCTATTTTTTATTTTAAAAGTTTATCTACTATTCCTATGGCTTTTATGTGTTACGTAATTATAATTTATTTCTATTCTGAACTGTCAAATTATCTTGTAATTTATCTTAATCTTATCGATAAATCAAACTAAGAATCACTTGGGATATATTTGACTATATTACTACAGTGTGAGTCAGTGTTGATGTTAATGTATTTAAAATTCTTTTGAAATATATAGAGCACCTCATAATAGTTCAGTATAGGGGTTTTGAACATGTAATGTTACTCTGTTTTTGTATTTAAATAAAAAACTATGGAATTGAAATCACCCAAGTTAACCCTTTTCGTTTATGTTTTACAGGGAATCCCTCAATTAATAAATAAATAAATTTGTTCTTTTTTTCGTTTTGTTTTAGAGTTAATCCTTTGACTGTATTGTACATCTTTTTGTCTGTCAATTGTGCAAATGCTATTGTTTTTGTTGTCAGTAATACACAGAAACACATTGAAAAAAATGTGAAAATTGACAACAACTATGTTTCAGCAGAATATAAAAAGACTTAAGATAGCTTGCAGGATGCAGCAGAACCTAATCTGGCATGGTATAGCACCAACTTCCTTGAATCTCATTATTTATTGCAAGCGATTAAATGTGCTGATAAATGCTGCCATTGCCGCTCGTGGAAGATTATCACTGAAAGGATTTAAGCAGGTGTGCTATGATTTCTTTTGTCCATCACTACAATGTGACCTTAAGAACAGAATATGTCCAACCAGTAAGATCTATTTCACATCCCACAGTGACTTACTGCCAAAAGGGAATGAGCTTCACTGCATTGTGCGCTATTAAATCAAAGAAGACCAAGTTAATGCATGTGGTTTAATAATTCCGAAATCTTCTTCCAACAAACAGATGGAGTAGTAAATTGAATTGTTTTTTTTACAAAGCATACCATTATTATTAACAAAAGATTTAGGAACTCTATCAGTAGAGTTACAACATACTATGGAGCAGATATAGGATCTGATGACAACCCTTTGATATCAGCAGAACATAGAAGTTATTCCGTGAACATATGATTAAGATAATAGAACTTAGTATATATATATATAATATATATATATATATATATATATATATATATATATATATATATATATATATATATATATATATATAAAATGTATCAGTTTCGAATTTCCGTTCGAGTTATCGAGGTATGGTCGGCATGTAATTTTGTTGGAAAATTGAGTAAGATACCAGCAAATTGGCAACAAGGTTAGAGTGACCAGTACTCTACTGAACAGTAGCGTAGATATCTAATTTTAAATGAAATAAAAGTTTTTATTTTTATTTAATTTTATTTGCCAAAAAGTTTCATTTTCTATAAAGTTTAAATAAAAAATATCGGTGTTGTTAACTTATGTGATATATCTAGGGAGTGATAACACTATCACAGAACTTATTCTAAAATAATAATACCTATAACAAATTAATTACTATTTATAACTGGGAATAAACCACAATTAAAGATAAAAATACGTTTATTGACGTTTCAATTTCCAATTCGGAAATCGTTCTCAAAATACAAACAGTAAATTTACTGTTAATAATAGAAATAGCTTCAGAACAATACTATAAAAAATTGTTAATAAAAGTAATTATTATCACATACAATTAAACAAATTTTTTATGTACAAGTATTTTAGTATACAAACGTTTTATCAAAGAATATAGACGCTATAAGCATTTATATTCTTTGGTTTTATTAACACAACGGCTCATAAATTTTAAAACTTAGGAGCACATTTTGTCCCTGATAACTTAGTTATTGTAATCAGGATAAAATAGAGAATTCATTTTTTAAACTATATACAGAGTGTTGTTCTATTAAAGAACCACAAATTTGGTTTGACACCGTGTGAGAGACGACTTAGTACCTCAATAATTTTTTTTTATATATCTAGCATGCATTTTATAATGACCTAACCTGTACTTTGACTATTTTAAATTAAACACTTTGTGCGTTTTTGTTCTATCATGAAGTGTGTTTGTACCCTAATTTGAAAGATATATAAGCAAAACGAGAATATTTACAATTACAATAAAAATAAAGGTTTCAACTAACACCTAGTTCAAAATAAATACTTACTAATCTACTCAGAATTACTGTTATCACTAGTATCACTCGTATCTTCTAAATTTATAGTTAATTTGGTTAATGCTGGTAAATATTCAACATGGTCATTTTCCACTGTGATTACATGTTTGATTACATTTTTCCAGTAGGTTGCTGTGATCTTTGTGACTTCTCTTCTAATTAATTGGAGAACAGTAGACGAAAATTTAGGAACCACGTTTCTTGTTCTTATATTTCCTTCAAGTTGAGTCCATATTAACTCTATTGGGTTCAATGTACAATAATAAGGAGGAATTCTAAGCACGGTATGCCTATTACTGCGAGTACAGTTATAAAAAACAACATATTCCTTCTGGTACTGTCTACTATAAACAACCTCCAACAATTGCTTTTTATTATATGATTCCTTAAAGTACAAATCTTTTTCAAATAAAAATTCTTTAATTTGTAATTTGTTTCAAGTAATATTTGGAATTTTCTCATTAATCTTGAATGGTATGATGCGTTGTCCATGACAATCACACTATAGTTAGGTACCTAATCTCGGTACTTTAGGTCTTTAATTTTTTTTTGCAGATATTAATAATACATCGTCGATCCATCTATTTTCTCCACCGCACTGTGAAATTATAATTCTCTGTCCTGCCATGAGTATCACACCAGTTCTCATCTAAACAAACAACATTTCGTTTTATTTTTTGATACTCAGTTATCTTCTAATATTATTGTTTCTTACAGAAATAATTATTCTAGTACTTTCCATTTAATTAGTTTTTGACGCTTGTCTATAGTTTTTTCTTAAAATTATGGGTTTTAATAAATCATCAAAGTGTTGTTGCTGAACATAAGAGAATGTCCTTTCGAACCAGTTCACTTCGAAGGTTTTCAATAGTTGGAACAATATTAGCGCATCCATTTTGTATATTGTTCTGATTATAGGTTCCTTTAAGCGCGGTTCTATTTGTCTGAATTTGCCACAATCCTTTTTCCTCTGTCTAGAAGATGTTTCTCCTATAATCTTGTAGCAGGTTGCGTTGGGCACTCTGATTTAAGAAAACATGTTTCTGCAATAACCTCTGATTTAGACGATTCAGAACACAATCCTTCATAAACATGTTTCATCATATGTTTGGGATCATCAGAGAGGTATTGAAAATGTCGCCTACGTTTTACTACACAGCTTTGTAAATATTCCAATTGATTAGAGTAGAATGGTTCCCCATTTGGAAATCAGTCTTGGAGCTGCGGAAACAACCGCATTTACAAGACATCTTTGTACTGGTCTTGCCACATCATTCCTTTTACCACGTACAGACGTCCAGTACACTTGCCTAATGACTGACCAAATCATCACTTTTGTAGGGTGGTTCACAGTCTGAACAACACAGTCAGAATGAAACTTTTCTCTATGACGATGACGCACAAACTGAGCTTTGTTTTGCAAAATTTCAAATGTGCTTTCATCACTGAAGCAGACCTGTCAACAATAGAAAAAAATTACGTGCTGGTCTTTATATTGGGCTTCCTAGCGGGGCGGTAGGCCATAAAACTCAAATCTTTTAATTTTATTCGCACGTACGTTCAAAAACATTCACATTGTCATCTTGTAGTTGCGATTTTATCAATTTTGTAGTAGCAAATCTGTTTTCTAGGCAAAATTTCTTTAAAGATCTTTCTGACCTTGGAATGAAAATATTCTTTCTGCCGCATTTTTCTTTCATTTTGGGCTTAATTCTTTCCCTAATTCAATCTTCTTCTTTATGCGTCGTACACTAGCTTTTGAAACCTTTAACCTTCGTGATATTTCACGGTTTGAAAATATTTTAGTATTCACTAGGGCCTTTATCTCAGCTTTATTACGTGGTGAAAGATCGCGTTTTTTACCCATGATGAAAGCGTACCAACAGATTATTTAAACTCTACACATGAAATAAACAAATAACTGCGTAATATAAAACTGTTTTATAAACAAACACCGCACATAAATCTACAGAGACACGTTCGCAACTGAAGCACCTGCGAACGCGATGGGAGCAGGTTTAGACTTGTTTACGTTCAGGCAAGCATTGATTAAGACAGTGTTGCCATTTATGACAAATACGAAATATATAATAAATTTGCTGAATAAAAATTCATTTCATGTATGTTTTTATGTGAAAGAACTGCATATAAACTCGAATAAATAATATAATTATTAAAAAACAGGAGTGCGTCTAATAATTTGGCCAGGGATCACAGAAATTATTTTAGTACTTTCCATTAGGGTCTGGCGCTTGTCTATATTTTTGTAGCTATGTGCGGTTCTATTTGTCTGAATTTGCTACCATCCTTTCTCCT